GGATCCAGGAGCTCCTCTCGTTGGCGGCGAGCGGCTGCGGAATCGACCCTGCGAAGATGGGCAGCCGCAGCCTCCGCATAAGAGGGGCAACGGCGCTCTACAAAGCAGGGGTCGACATCGAGACCATCGGGAGGATCGGCCGCTGGTCCAGCAGCGCGGTGCATTCGCGCCTGCGGGGCACGCGCGAGCGGCAGAAGGGCACGGCCGCCAAGATGGCGCATCCAGATGGGATGCCGGTCAGCGTAGGCGCCGCCCCAGAAGGGCGCCGCGAGGACTCCGAGGAGGCCCGCGCCAGCGTAGCGAGGAGGAGGCCGGGCCGTCGCGAGGCCGACGCCCGAGCGATGTCCAGGAGGATGCTGAGGAGATTCCCGAGGGTGGGCCGCGCCCCCCAACCCTCGGAAGGTTTGGGGAAGTTCCGCCAGGGCGGAACCCCAGGCAGCGCGGGGCGCAGCAGCCCAGAGGAGATGGAGAGAGTCAGTGCGAGCGCACTGGGACGAGGCGTGCATGGAGGAGCTGCTGCGCCCGCCGGGCGGCGACGAGATCGCGAGAATGCAGTTTCGTGCGGCGGCGGGGTCAGGCCTGACAAAGCGTCGGAGCCGGCGCCGAGCGCCAGAAGAAAACATTCTCGTATCAGATGTGTTGCTAAATAAAAGGGGCGCGCATCAGAGGCGCTTCGCGCCAGCTCTGCACGTCCCAGTCTTGCGCGTAGTGTTTCTCGGTGGCTGTGCTGAGTTAAGTTAGCCGGCTGGGAATTCAACCAAACAAAATCCAAGGAAAATCCACGTCGTTGTTCATTCTCCTGGTCGGGGTCTTGCATTGGCAGAAATTCAAGTAAAAATCCGCTGCAACACGTCTGCAAGGCCGGTGCAGTGACACGGCGCGGTCGTGTTCGGGGCGGATGGTGCCGATGAGCCCGGGCTTTCCCTGGGGCCGATATTTCATCCCGAGTCGTTTTTTGACGGTCTCCGTGCCCGGCGAAGGCCCCCAAAGGCCGACTGCAAAAAACATCTCCGCCTTGATGTTGCTCGACGCGCCGGGCGGGGCTGCATCTAGAGGCCGCGCGGGTGCCCAGACGGCCCGCCGCTGGCGAGCGGCGCGGGACCTCTCGTCGTCGTCGTCCTCCTCCTATTCCGCCTCCTCGTCCTCGTCGTCGTCCTCCTCCTCCTTTTCCTTCGCCTCCTCCTCCTCGTCGCCGTTTCCTCCTCCGCCTCCTCGTGGTCGTCCTCCTCTTCCTCCCACACCTCGTCGTCGTCGTCGCCCTTCCTCGTCGTCGTCCTCGTCCTCCTCGTCGTCGTCGTCGTCGTCGTCGTCGTCGTCCAGCGTGTCGAAGCCCCGGGCGCGCCGCCGCTGCACCCCGGGGCACCCCCGTCGCGCCGGCGTGCCGGGAACCCCGCCCGCCGAGGTGTACGGCGCGGCGGCCCCCGGGCCCGCGGCGGAGGCCGCCGAGCAGGCCCGCTCCCCGCGCGGGGCGCCTTGGTCGGAGGAGGGAGAGGAGGAGGAGGGGGAGGAGGAGGAGGAGGAGGAGGAGGAGGAGGAGGAGGAGGAGGAGGAGGAGGAGAGGAGGAGGAGGAGGGAGGAGGAGCAGAGTATAGGATGAGGAGGAGGAGGAGGGGGGAAGGGGAGGGGGAGGGGGAGGGGGAGGGAGGAGGAAGGATGAGGAGGAGGAGGAGGAGAGGTAGGAGGGATGGAGGAGAGATGGGAGGGAGGCAGGATGGGAATGAGGAGGAAGGAGAGGAGGATGAAGGAGGAGGAGTATGTGAGGAGTATGGGAGATGGGGAGGGGGGGGGGAGGGGGGAGGGGGGGGGTGGGGGGGGTGGGGGGAGTGGGGGTAAGTGGAGGAGATGCAGGAGGAGGGGGAGGATGAGGGCGGGTTGAGGCAAGAGGAGTAGGAGGAGGCATTGAGGTGAGAGGAGGAAGAGGAGGAGTAGGAGTCAGGAGTGGGATTGAGAGGTTGGGATGATGAGGGAGGGTTACTGGTGGTAGGAGGAGGTGGAGGAGGTAGGAGTGAGGTTGAGGAGTGGAAGGTAGGAGGAGGGGATGCAGGAGCAGGATGAGGAGGAGGAGGAGGAGGAGGAGGAGGGGGAGGGGGCGGAGGAGGAGGAGGAGGAGGAGGAGGAGGAGGAGGAGGAACAGGCTATCCCACGTAGTGGTCCAGGAATTAGCGGGCACGAGTGAGCTGCTCAGATCGACTGCGAGCTTTCGGCCACAACCCATCGTCAATTCGAGACAAGTATTCTCGACGATGGGGGTCAAGTTTAGGAGAACAAGGTTTCGACAGCTCACGCATAGAAGCATGAGCACAGAAACCACAAACCTGACAAAGCCCAACATTATGGGCCCTCTGGAGCCTCATGGTATGGGTCTCGTGAGCCCAACCCCCCGCAATGTGGAGCCGCCCCCCAGGGGGAGGGCCAGGAGGAGGAGGCGAAGGAGGAAGAGGAGGAAGAGGAGGACCTCCTCCTCCTCCTCCTCGTCCCTCCTCCTCCGATGAATCACGTCCCAGAGTTATTCTGTTCCAACCGACTTTAGTCTTGATCACCAGGAAAATTTCGAGCACCCAGAAGGTAATTACCGAACCGTGAGGGTTTCTACGTGTCGGGCCCTGGGAGGCGGTACTCGCTCGACACTATTTCGATACGTCTCTGGGTGCTCGAAATTACTCTTGGGAGTTGGCCCCACAGTACGGCGGGAGCAGCATAATCCCAGACCCCGTGGCGTAGTGAGACATCGCGGCGGGAGGTCTCTCTCGCTACCTTCTGCCTCCGGGAGCCCTTCCCAGGCCTCGGGACCGTCAGAGAACGGCTTCAGGGGCAGCAGTAGGAAGGGATGGGCACGGGGGAGGGGGCGCGTCGACCCCCAATCGCCTACGGATCGCCGAAAGGGCCCGATGGCCCCAACCTGCCCAGCAGCGTGCGGATTTACTGTCTGGAGCCTATCGCCGATCTGTCGGCGATGTATCGCCGATTCCATGTCGGTGCGTCTTCCCCTACGCCAGTTCCCCCCCTGCAGATGATTCAGGATGAAACACGGGTCCCGCCCGGGGGAAGGGGTCGAGATCTCTGGGGGTTGGCATTGTGAAGTGATCGCGGCGTCGGGGGTCTGGGGCCCCCGCGCGGGCCGCGGGGAATCCGAGGGCGAGGCGGCCGGTGAATGCGGAGAAGGAGGCAGGGGAGGAGGAGGAGGACTACGCGAAGAGGCGGAGGAGGAGGAGGCGGAGAAGGAGGAGGAGGAAGAGAGGAGAAGAGAGGAGAGGAGAGGAGAGGAGAGGAGAGGAGAGGAGAAGAGGGGAGAAGAGAAGAGAAGAGAAGAGGGGAAGAAGAGGACGAGGATTCGGAGGAGGCGGAGGAGGAGAGGAGAGAGAAGAGGAGCAACAACAGACGTTATGTCGGCAGCACGGCGGACCAGAAAAAGGAGCACGGCCGAAAATTTGGATTTCGTTTGGGACAACCTTAAAACCATGAGATGTTCTCAACATCGTCTTGACATCGTTCTTGAAGTGCTTCAAGAGGAAGAAATGGGAGCCCCAAAAGGACCTCAATATGGCTTGTAGAGCGCCGTGATGACTGCCGAGCATGACCTATTTCGCTGGGGACATCCTCAAACAATGAAAAAGTACAACAGGATCGTTTTGATAACTGCTGTTCTAACATCGTCCTGCGCGGACATATTCCCGCGGCCTTGTAGTCCTCAATCCGGCGGTTCATCTGAGCTCGGATAAGGGTGGCCACGTCGTCCCACATCGGGTCGATATCGAAGCCGCCACCTGGGGACTGCCAACACCTATGGTCTCGGCCAATGAACACGATCTCGACCGCACCATCAGGCGAGCGCTTAACCGCGTCGTCTATGATGCGATCAGAAGTCTCCAGCACTAGTCGGAGCTATCCAGCAATAGTCGTCGGGTTCTCGGACCGCTTCCCCTCAACACGAACGCCAAGCAAATTGTATGTTGCCTGGTCAGCAATGTCATTAAAGGACCAAAAGACGAACCGCACTGGTGCATGGGCTCCCTTCTTGTAATGTTGATGCCCGGGGTCGGCGCCAGGTGCGGTTTGCGGCCGCCGAGGCGTCCCGGGCGGCTGGGGAGACCGCTGGCGCTGGGCCTCAAGCCAAGCGGCCACGCCTGGAGAGCGCCCGCTCGACTGGCAGCGGTTCGGCCGCCCTCTCGGCCAGCGCTGTCGCCTTCAGCATCCCGGGGCACGCCTTGTCCTACGCCTGTGCTGGAGAAGGCGAGGGCACCCAAGAGATCGTGGCATGCTCCAAGTGCGGCGCCTACATGGTGCTGGGCGGCCGCTCAGGGGTGAAGCCTCGCCTCAAGGAGCGGTGCCCAGGCGACAAGGCTGACAAGTCAGGCAGGAACCAGCGCAGCCTGTAGCTACGGGGACTCCATCCAGGAGGCAGGCCTCGAGCTGCCAGGCAGAGAGTGAAAGGAGAGGGCATCCCAGCGTTGCGCTCGCAAGGGCCAGTGCCAGGACATGCCCAGGAGCGGTACCTGGAGTGGTTCGGCATCGCAGCGGAGCCAGCTGTCGGCGCCTCGTCCGCTGCGAGCAGTGCGGGCAGCGCTCCTGCGGCTACCGCAGCGCCTGAGGCGGCCTCGGGGAGCCTGGGCGAGGCCCCTGCGGCTGCGCCCGCTGCAGCGGCCGCCGCCAGCCAGCCTCTGCAGCGGCCAACTGCGACGAGAGCTGGGCTCCTCGGCGCTTTCGGGATCACCGAGGAGGAGCTCGCCGCCGCGGCCAGCGCAGCGGGCGACGCCCTGGAGGACCGCAGGGTGCGCCGCCGTCTGGCGCGCCGTGGCGATCCGTCCGAGAGTGAGTGAAAGATAAGCATCTGTGAGGCTCACGCCTGCTGCTCCCTGTGAGTAGGCTTCCGTGGCCCTCGGTGCTCGCTTGGGGCTCGGCTTCTCTCGGGAACGCGGGTCCCGTCTGGCCCTGTCCTTTTTTTTTCTGGCCACCCCTCTTGCCTTGAAAGCCCCGTCTGTAATTCTAACTTACACATAGGAGCACGGCAGAACATATAGGTGCACGGCAGAAATGACAGCAGAACACGCAGGAGCACGGCAGAACACACAGGAGCATTCCGTAGCCATTTTGGCTCAAGCCATGTCCCGTGGCCCGTCCTTCGGTCTCCCGTGCTGGGCGCGCATGGCCGTGAGGGCGCCGCTGGAGGGTGGGCTTGGGAGCGATGGCGGCGGGGAGACGGCCGCGGCGGCCGTTTGAGGCGTTGCGGAGGCCTCAGCGCGAGCGGCGGGCCGCACAGCGCTGGGCAGCCCTCTCCCGCGAGCGCCTGGTGGAGCGCCAGGCGTCCGAGCTCGTGGAGCTGCGGAGCGTGGCATCGGCCCCCCCCAGCGTCCTGCGCCGCCTGGCGCTAGTGGCACCCGTGCTGATCACCCAGGAGTACGGCGGGCCGCTGGAGGAGGAGCGCACCCTCGAGCGCAATGTGTGGGGTGCCACGCGCGGGCCCTCCCGCGGCCTGGCGGTCCGCGGGCCGCCTGGAGGAGGGCGCAGCGCGGGCCGCGCCTCCCGTGCCCGAGGTCGGCCGCAGCGGCGAGCTCAGCGGAGGTGGAGCCGCGGGCTGTGGGCGCAGATGCCATTCACGTCGCTGATTTTGAAGCGGAGCTCCAGGCGGAGGCTGACGCCCAGGCGAGCGGCGGTGCGCCCCCTCCCCCGCCAGGCGTTTGGCTGGTCGCAGACCCACTGGCAGGGGCGAGGGCCTTCCGGGAGGGCTTCGACGCGGGCTGGCGCCTTGCTGGGACGGCTTCCGGCGCTCCGCGGGGCGGCGACGGCCGGGTGCTGCAGGAGCAGTGCGTGCCCTCCTCGTCCTTCCGTGGCGCATGGGAGGTCTGCAGCGACGGTGCGCGCGGCGGCGGGCAGGCTGCCCCTGCCGCCAGGGCAGAGCCTGGACCTCCCCGCGAGGGGGTTTGGAAGGCAGGCGCGGCGATGGAGGAGGACGGCAGGGCCGCCCTCCGCGCGCCGCGCCGTGCGTTCGATGGTGCGCAAGGCGGCGCTGCAGGCGAGAGAGCGCCGCGGCCGCCGCTGCTTCTGGAGAGCCTGGCGGGCCCAGGCGGCGACGACGGCTTCGATGGCGGCTTTGTGGGCGGCCCTGTCGACGGTGGCACGGACACGGACGTGGGGGCGGCCTGCCCTGGGCCCCCCGCCCGTTTCGAGCCCGACAGCCACGTCCTGGAGTATCGGGGCCGCTTCGGCGCGGCGGCGCTGGGCGGCGGCGCGGCCGTGGAGCTGGAGAGGGGCACCGCTGGTTCCAAGCGGGCCGCCGCTGCGGCGAGTGCCGAGCGGTGCATCCCTTTCCTCGATGAGTTCGACGTGGCCGCGGTGGCTGCTGCGGCCCGCGGGCCGCTTTCGGGAGTGGAATCGCTCCTGGACCTCGCCGAAGGCCGCGCTGAGGGTTGGCTTCTGCAGCGCGAGCTTACTCTCGGAGACAGGGCAGAGATCGAAGCCCGCGCTGAGAGCTTACTGTTGCAGAAGGGAGTTCGTAGTGATTCTTTATCGCGGTGATTGTTTTGAGGTGGATGGTCAGCGATCGCTTCTGGTTTGTGCTGTCCTCACACCTTGACGCTGGGAGTCGCGAGTGGTGCCTCCTGTACTTGAATGTGCACGCTGTGTATTTGCAGCGCAGTCGAGTTCACCCTTGTGCAGGTAGTGTAATTTTGTTTTGTTCTGCGCTGCCGCGCGGGGGGTCGGCTTGTCACGCGTTCGGCAGCCGTCCCCTGGTGGCCGCGGTGGAGGCCCAGGGTTGCCCCCGCGGGGAGAGGCGGCCCTAGGCGGCCCCTCTCGGGAGGGCGTGTCTCGGGTGGCGCTGGTGGCCCCTGGAGGCCCCTCGGCCCTTTGCCTTTCGCCTTGAAGGCCCCGTCCTTAATTTTGACTGTAAAACACAGGAGCACGGCAGAACACGCAGGATCATGAGGAGCACGGCAGAACACACAGAGTACGTAGGAGCACGGTGGAACACACAGGAGCGCGGCAGATCACACAAAACACATGGGAGCACTGCAGAACAAGCAGCAGCATGGCAGAAGACACAGCAGCACGGCAGGACACACAGGAGCACGGCAGAACACATACGAGCACGGCAGGGCAGGACCGGGGCAGAAAACATAGGAGCACGGCAGAACACACAGTAGCACGGCAGAACACCAGCACGGCAGCTCACATAGAGCATCTATTCACACAGCCGTACCCATAGGCACACGCACAGATGCACACGCACAGAGGCACACACAGACACATAATCACACGCACGCACGCACGCACGCACGCACGCACGCACGCACGCACGCACGCACACACACACACACACACACACGCACACACACAGAGAGAGATGCAACATACGTTCACGCAGACCGCAGGAGCACGGCAGAGCAGCAAGGCATAGCACAGCAGTGCCGCAGACCACGCACGGACACACATGCACATGTTCCACGCACGCACGCGTACGCGCAAACGCACGCACGCCACGACATGTATTCGTGGCTTACCAACAAATAAGAGCATACTTCACATATCGAGTTGACAAAGCGACTCTTCCCGTTCTTGTCCGGTCAGGTTATTAATAATCAGTGGTCACCCCTCCGCGAAGGGGAAGAAGGGATTCGAGGAGGACGAACGCTGACGTTTACATGCTCTGCACCAGGCTCCCATCTCTTTGCACGTCATGCCTGCCCTCCTGCGCAGCTCAGGGCCGCCACCTTCTCTTGCGCAGAGTTAGCCTCAGCGGCATACTTGGAAAATCCAGGGTTCGCTCGGGACTTTTTTTTCCAACGACACAGCCAGAACCATCCCGAAACCCTCCGAAAGTCCTCCAAGAAGGGTTCCCGGAGGGTTTCGGGAGGGTGTGGGAAGGGTTTTCGTCGTTTTGGGGGGGAGCCAATCCCCAGCGAACCCTGGGCCTTCCAGCGGCAGCCCACGGTTCCCTTCTCGCGGCACGGCGCTCCCGTCTTGGCCGTGCCAGGTGAGCCCGGCACCGCCGCACAGACTTCCGCCGCGACCTCCGCGGCGCACGGGGCGCGTGCAACCGGGAGCGCGACTCTCGCGAGCGCGGCGCCCCGCGCGCGGGCCTCCGTCGGAGACGCTGCCAGGAAGGTGGAAGCTGGAAAGCAGGGCTCGACCTACGCGGTGTGTTGGCGATCTCGGGGGTCGTTTTCGCTTTGAGTTTGTTTTTGCGGCAAGCGCGGATTGGAGACAAAAGCGAGGGAGAACGAAGTCAAAGCGAGAACGACAAATACTGGTTTGGCTGAGCCCTGCTGGAGAGTGAGCCTGGCAACGCACTGGCGAAGTTTCCACCCTGCTCCACCCACCGAACCACCCCAATCCGACCCGAAGGCCTCCCATTTGCCGTCCATTCCTCGTGGGAGGGCGGCGGGGGCGGGGAACATGGAAAAGACACATACGGAGCCCGACCCCCCGCCCCACCCGAAAGTCGGGTCTTCGGGTTGGGTGGGGCCTGGTCTGGTAGGCAGCCCACCCTGCTCTGCTCTGCAGCGGTGCTGCCCGTGGCTCCCCGCGGCACGCGCACGGAGAGCCCGCGCAGAGGCCCCGGGGTCGTGGGGCAGCAGGGGGGCCCCGCTCTCGCCCGTGCTCCAGCACCGCAGGCGGCGGTGTCACAGCATGTCCATGCCTCTAGGAGAACCACTTGGTATCGCTCGGACGTGTGCGATTTTCTCGGCGGGGATTATGAAGGAGCATCTTGGAGCATCCTGGAAAAAAATCGCACGAAACTGAAACAAAAACACAGGGAATGGACGTCCGAGCGATGGCCAGACCAAGAATAACATAAGATACACGACGCGGGTTTTTCGGATCGGCGCTCAGCCCCCTCCCTGGCGCGCGGAGCGCGCCAGGGGTGGCGCCAGAGGCGCCGCCAGGGGGGTCCAGCACGGATCCGAGAAATCCGCGCGGACTTCCGAGTTGTTACGTTTATGTCATTCTTCGTTCCCCTAGTCTCAGCCCTTTCGCTCACGTCTCGCCAGTGCTGCCGCTGTTGGAGCAGTTCATCGGCGGCGAGCGAGGGGGGGAAGTGAAAAGGAGAAGGCCTTATCAGAAGGCGGCGGGACTTCTCAGAAGCCCTCGCGCCTTTGAGAAGTTTGTCCTGTCTTCGGGGAAGGCTTGGAACACTTCTGAGGAGGCCGGGGGACTTCCGAACCTTCTGAGAAGGCCTTCTCCTTCTCACTTCCCCCCTCGCTCGCCGCCGAGTTCATGAGCCCATCCACACACTGGTGCACGCGGCAACCCTGCTCCGTTGCTCACGCAGCGCGTGCTGATAGGAAAACGTCGTTCAAGGACATCCGACGCCGTGATTTTAGGGACAGAGAAACTGACATAGACATCAGAACTTGGAGCTCTGCGCGGACCTCGGAGTGTTTTTCATGTTTACGTTATTGCTATGCTCCCCTCGATATCTTCGCAGCGCGCCACTCGGCCCCGTCACCGAGGCAGGCGTTTCCGCCCGACCTGTTTTGGGGGCGGCGAGCCCGTGGCGGACGTGAGAAGGTGCGGGCCCCCTCAGCAGGCTCGGAAGGCCTCCCCTTTTCTGAGAAGGCCTGGTTCGGGTCGGGCATGTCCTCCTACAGTCAAGACGGTGAAATAAGGAACAGTTTGGGTTCGGAAGGGGCTCGATGTTCATCAGGTTCCTCCAGTGCTGTTCCTCTTGCTCTCCTGGGGCACGGAGGCGCTTACAGGGCCAAGAAGGGGCTTCGTTCCTCATTTAGCGTTCCTTCTTTCAGCGGCCCGACTGTACAGGCGGGTTTTGGAAGATATATGAAAAACAGGGCAAACAATAATCAAAGAAGGTCAAAGAGCCAGACAAATCGTCACTTTCATATTTTGTTTCATACTATCACTGAACATCCCTCCTGTAGGAGGCCCGCCCCTTCTCGCTGCCCCCCTGGGCTCGCCGCCGATGCTTGTGTTCCACAAGTCCCGGAGCCCAGGCCGCGGAGGCGTTCATGCACGAGATGGAGCGCTGGAGCATCGACCTGCAGAGGCGGCGGCAGCTTGGCCGACGACGACGACGATGACGACGATGACGATGACGACGATGACGATGACGTCGCCCATCGTCATCGTCATCGTCGTCGTCATCGTCGGAGGAGAGTCGGGCGGGGCTGGGACAAGGACAACGCCCTTCCAGAGCTTCGCGCCTCGCCGTTCGCGCCTCGCCCTCCGCGCCTCCAGCGCCTCGCTTCGTGCCTCGCCCGTCGCCGTTCGCGCCTCACCGGAGGCCCGGGCGTTGCACTTTTTACTTTTGCACGGGGCGTCTTTATCGCCTGGTTTCGGACCCCAGGGCCCGCGCAGGTCGGTCCAGCTAAGTGCGGCGGGACGACTGGGTTCAGTCGGGTGGGGCTGGGGCAAGGACAAGTCCGTCCCAGAACGTGCTGGAACGCTCTCAGGGCTTCCCGGAACGCCCCGAGAAGGCCGCGGCGCCCGATACATCCTCCAGAGCCGCCAGATCTCAGAGATCCTCGATCTATGCTCGTCCGAATTCGTCCTCGTCCGGGCAGTGGAAGGGGGAAAAGGTGGAAGAGGGGCAGGTACCGACGCCGTCACCCGTCCCTCGTCGCCACGGCTGGGTCCGCCTGGGGATTCTAGTCAGAGTGCGCCCTGAGAGACGTCCAGGGAGTAGCGGTGTCTGTGGTCTGTGTGTCACGGTCCCCCCCCCGGGCCGGGGGGAGGACGCGGCCGAGGGAGGAAGGGGGTTGGGGAAGGACTGGGGCGTGAGGGGGGGAGGCCTGGCAAGGGAAAGGTTGGGGGAGGGGGCCCTCGTCCACCTCCCTCGCCAGATGCAGCAGCGTCACTCTTCACGGGCCGCGGGGCCCTCGGAGTAGCGTTGCTTCCCCCGCCAGTCTCCGCTTTGGCCGATGGACACGAAGTTCAGCACGCTGTGCTTTCACCGAACAGAAAGGAGTCCTCCTCGGCCGCAACCAATCGGCCAAGAGTCAGGCACAGACGTTCGTAGCCTCCTACGCCTCCTTGTCCTAGTTCCTCACCCGCCGTGCCGATTTATGCTCACGTTCCAATAGTGCGTCCCCGGCGGCTTGGAACTTCGATGCGGCCAGGGGGGCGGCTCAAACCCTTGTGGTTGCCAGGCGGGCGCGCGCTCCCCCCCTGGCCGGCTTCCAGGTCATGATTTGGGGGCACCCTCAGCGTCATCAGCCGCACCTCCAGCCTATGCTAGACGCTTCTCGTAAACTCACCAGCCCATCCAGAAACGAGACCCAAACGTTCTGGTCTCATCAGGGATGTGGAAGAGAACGCAGTGGATTCAAGGGCTGGTCAAGACGTCGTGCCCCAAGAGGGGGAGCACAGAGGTGGAACCTAAGGAGGAGCAAGAGGAGGAACCGGAGGATGAGGATTGCAGCGCACCGTTGCCAGCCAAACTCCAGAATGCAATACTGCAGAAGTTAACGGGCAGGGCAGTGCGATCGCGTTGGGTTGCGGAGGCACCAGTCGCAGTGGCGGCAGCCTCCTCCCCAGCAGCGGCAGCGTCCTCGCGCCGCGCAGGCGCCGCACACCTGGCAGCCTGGGTTTGGTTTGGAACTCCAGGGACTGCACCTCCCAACTGCCACTTGGCATCGGTTGGACGTGTGCACTTTTTTCGGCGTGGATCATCGAGGAGCGTTTCGGATCATCTTGCGAAAATCAAGCGCACGAAGCCGAAACATTTTTGTGTCGCTTCGCGGTAGAGGCAGTCCGCACGCGCGCTCAGGTGTTTGGGCAACGGAAAGCGCAAATCAACCGGCGGCACGAGGAGGGAATGACAGGCGAAAGTGGCCGCGAGTGAGGAGAGAAGGAGGGTAGGGCATTCACATGGCGAGGTGCGTCGCCATGGAGCGGCCAGGGCGGCCAGCCATTGTTGCACCCCTGACAGCGGGCTCCGGGCGCCGTTACGGCCACGCCCACAAAGCCGAGACATGCACGGAGAATGGACGTCCGAGCGATGACAAGACCAGGAGTGCAGTTCCCCGTCGCGATCAGCGTCTTGGCCCTGGAGGCCAAGGTGGCAAGGTCTGCCCCGAGGGCGAGGGGGCCAAGGGAGGTCAACGCAGGGCCGGCAGCACCAGCCATACCCGGAACCTCCTGGACCCCCAGCAGCCTGCGCAGTCGTGGGCGGATGCCACATGAATTGGCAATGCTCAGCCTGATGCAGGAAACGAGGGTGACAAATCGGCCTTGCCCCCCCCCGCGGAAGGGCAAATTGGATCCATTGCGCGGGCCCCGACACCAATTATTCACCACATGCAAAACGCCAGGCACAGACGGTCTTCGACGGTCTCAAGAGGGCCAAGTTCGGGGCCGTTTCGGCCAAGCCTTCTGCTGTTTAGGCTGGTTCCCGTAAGGACCAGGTTAAAGCTTACAGGAAAACGGATGGGCGACACAAGGGCCAAGATAATTTCGAATTCCCTTTGGGTGGGATATTCGAGAGGAGAATGAAAATCCATCTTCAACGCCAATCAGCAGAATTACCAGTAAATGCAACAGCTGGAGGGCAAGTTGGCCCTCGTTCGCCAGGAAGCAACGGACGCGGGCAGAGTTTTATAGGAGTATCTGGAGGTGGACCTTGCTATGGCTGAAAAGATCCGAGCGCGTCCCAGTATTAGTCGGGACGTCTTCGGTGTTTTTTTCCATAGTGGACAATCGAGGTTTGCGCCGCTCGTGGGCAATCACGCGGCAGCCATCCTCGAAGTATCAATTCCGGAGGTGCGGCCGACCTTTTTTTTTCATAGAAGCGGCAGCACCCCCCCCACCTCCAGCAGATTCGGCGCGCATCGGGGGCGGCGGACGGACAGTGTCGAGTTTGGCGACGAGCGCGCGCGGAGAAAGGCGACACGGGCAGTAGCGACGCAATGCAGGACGGGCCCTGTCGGGTTCTGCACTGAGCAACTGGGGGGCGCCAAGCAATATTGGCACAGCCACTCGACACCAAGAAGCAGACCATAAATCCCCGAGTAAATTTCGCAGTGAAGAGAAGTCAGGGAAAGGGCCCCGACGTCGGAGGCCTGGGAACGCACGTGTTTCGCGCGCGCAGTCAGTTGGCCGTGGCGGCGCGGCGATGAAGGAGGCGAGGGGGAGGAGGTCCGACCCCCTGGCCCTCGAGCACGGGCTCCCGCGTCGTCTAGTGGGCATATGCAGCCCGGAACCCAGGGATATCAAGAAGGCGTCGCAGGCGCAGCGGCCCCGCCTAAATCCGCGGACCCGCCCACAGCAGCCATGTGCTTCTCCAGGATATACCCCTCGGCTGGAGCGGCCGCTGCGGGGTCGACGAACGGGAAAGAGTTTTCGACGCTTGCGACAGGGGGTCCGCCCTCCCGAGAGGCAAGGGCCGGGCGACGCGCGCCACCACATTTAACCATGGCGCTAAGCACGGCACGCTCCGGAAGGAAGTCACGGGCCCCCAGCTTCTGCGCCCCCGTGCGAGGTGTGTTCAGGAGGTTGGAATCTGACATACTTATTCCATGTTCAGCAGCATCTAGAAGGGCGCCGCTGGTTATCAGTATTTCTGCTGGCTGTCCAGAAGCTATATTTGCGGGAATGCATTCCCATCCTACATCTTGCAATCGCCTTCTTCAGTCAGAACCCTCATCCGCCGCTCGCCTCGCCACGGCGCCGGCGGCGGCGGCGGCGGCGCCCCCGCGCTGAGCCCTGCGCGCCGCAGGCAGAACCTCTGCAGATGCTGGTGGCGGATGGGCATTTGGAGGCCAGCCGGGCGCAAACCAGCCTGAGGTTGATCGGCGTGGACGCTCGCGCCCAGACCAGCCTTCCGCCCCTCGGCGCTGCGACGCCGCTCGGCACCTGGGAATGCGTCGTCGCGAACGAACGGCGGCGCTGCCACGCGGGGTTGGCGCGGGGAGCGCTGAGCCAGCGCTCGCGCCCTGGGCTTTGGGGCGCCGTGCTGAGAAAGACCCCGCGGGAACAGCCTGCGCAGAGCTGGGGGCGGGGGGGGGCGCGCGAAACGGCGTGGATGTGCGAGGCCCCATGCACTTGCAAGTGCATGGGGCATGCAGATCGCGCCGGCTCCTCTCCCAGACTGGATGCGAGACCCCGCGGAACTCGCCGCGTCGATTTGCCACCTCGATCGCAGGGGGGGCTGACCGAACAGCTGCAATCTGAACCTGTGCGAGGACAGCTGGAACAGCGTCTCGCGGCACGCCGACGACGAGAAGCTGTTCCAAGGGAAGTTCCAGGACTGCCCGATCATGCCGCTTTCCCTTGGCCAGGAGAGGCGCTTCGAGGTGAAGGCCCAGGGCCCCGACGAGGATGGAGGGAAGGCATTCGCGAAGCTGCAGCTCAGCGACGGGAGCCTCTGCGCGATGGAGGGGCTCTCGCAGAAGTATCACCAGCACAGGGCGCCGCGGGGGAGGGATCAGGTCGGGCCACGGATGCACATCACTTGGCGCTGGGCGGTGGATCACCTCGACGGTCGTCTAGGGCAGAGGAGAGTAGGAAGCCGTTCGGCGGGGGGCGGGCGGCGCCGACGCCGGCGAACGGCGCCACCAGAGAGCGCGAGATCGCAAGCCCATGCGCCGCCGACATTGCCCCCTCCTTTCTTCTTCGCGTCTTCCCCAATTATGTCATTGCTCCTGCGACTCGCCTTGCGCGCTAGTACACGGTCGCGCACGTTTAAATGTTCCAGAGCTTTTTTTGTTCAGTCGCAGCGCATTTAGGAGGAGTGGCGCGAGGGGCGGAACGCTGGGCACGGGTGGCGGAGGATCAGGGTCGGGGAAGCAGAGCACCCCGGACCCACTGGCGCTTGAGACCATTCGAGGCATCTTACCCGCCGTGGCAACATCCCTCCGACGTCGGGGAACTCTACGACTGAGGCCGCGCAGAATCTAGCCAGCGCGCGAGCTTTCGGAACGCTTGTCACGGAAGTTTATGCGGCATTGGATTTCCACGCCACGGCCTCCTTTGTTGGCCCGGGTTGATTTGAAGACCTCGGGGGCCGATCAGGAGTTGTTGCAATGATGGCCACGATGCTTTGCAGAA